AGATGATGAGGGTGGCATGGAACAGGATGGGATTCAAGTCTGTATTTCGTAGGGTCACTGTCAGTCATACTGTACTTGACAGCACCTAACAACAGTAACATTCTAGTCTGGTGAATAGCATGTAGTTAGTATCTTAAAAGCTTTTGAGCTGTCATCTAAAACATACCTAGTAAACTTAGCAAGGACCACATGGGGACAGCCATATCAGACCTTTACAAACTCTACAAAGAGGAACTTCCCCTGTTAACAATATCAACAATACAAAACCAGTTTCCATATGGTCAGACATCTCCCACACCCTCCTGCACCGCTTTCTATTCTTCCCATACCAAGCTTACTGGTTTGTTGCTGTTGTTATGTGCCGTCAGGTTGCTTGTGACTCATAGCAACCCTATGTACAACAGCCCTAAACTCTGCCCTATCCTGTGCCAATTGCACTGCCTCTGACACACCTATCCCGATTACCTCAGTCACTGAATCAGTCCACCTCATAGAGGGTCTTCCCCTCTTGCACCGTCCCTTTACCCTCCCAAGCATGAGGTCCCTCTCCAAGGACCTGTCCCTCCTTACAACTGTCCAAAGTATGTCAGATGAAGCCCCAGAATCCTTGCCTCCAAGGAGCAGCCCAGTTTAACCCTTTCCAGGATGAATCTTTGTTTTCTTGGCAGTCCATGATGCATTCAATACTCTTCTCCAGCACCACAGCTCAAAGGCATCAATTCTCCTTCTATCCTCATTGTCCAACTCTCTGATGCATAACAAGTGATTGCAAAGACCATAGCCTATATCAGACGCACCTTAGTCTCCAGAGTGACACCATTGCTCTTCAGTACCCTGGAGAGGTCCCTAACAGCAGACTTTGCCATGGCAATACATTTTTTTATTTCCTGGCTACTCATGCCAAGAGTGTTGACCATGGAGCCAAGCAGACTAAAGTTGTTAACAATCTCAATCTCTTCACCATCCATCCTGATGCTGCCAATTGTTCCAGTGGTGAGAATCTTTGTCTTCTTGACATTGAGCCTCAATCCATACTGAAGGCTGCAGTCCTTGACCCTCTGCAGCAAGCATTTCAGGTTCTTCTCCGTTTCAGCAAGCAGGGTTGTGTCATCTGCATAACACAGATTGTTGATAGATCTTCCACGAATCCTGCTGCCACACTTCTCATAGAGCCCAGCCTCTTGGATAATCTGTTCTGTGTACAGGTTGAAAAAATATGGAGATAGGACACATCCCTGGCGTACGCCTTTCCCAATTTTGAACCATGCAGTGTACCCTTGCTCTGTTCTGATGACTGCCTCTTGGTCCAGGTATAGGCTTCACATTAGCACGATCAAATGTTCTGTGATTCCCATTCTTCTCAGAGTCAGCCATAGTTTGTTATGATCCACACAGTCAGACACCTTTGCATAATCAATGAAACACAGATAGACATTCTTCTGGTATTCTCTGCTTTCAGCTAAGATCCATCTAACATCAGCTACAATATCCCTAGTACCACAACCCCTTCTAAACCCAGCCTGGACTTCTGGCAGTTCTCTGCCGATGTTACTGGTTTACTGGGTCCAAATTATGTTGAAATAGCTCACAGACCACACAAAACCATATTAGGGAAGTCAAAAGACTGTATGTAATTCAGGTTAGTAGCCGAATACATTCCAGTCAGGACACATGCTAACGTATGCACACAAGCACTTAAGCCTCACAACTTTAGGCCAGTCTTGTCAGGTATGACTCACTCCCCCACTCCTAGTTGTCCTGTTCCGTTGGTTAGCATTCACAGGATCTTCTCTGTCTTATGTCAGGTCTCTGGTTCTCTGCTGTGGCTTCTGTAGCTGCTGCTCCTATAGGCCCCAGTCTGGTTGGCACAGAAATTGTTGACTCTTGCATTGCATTCACTTGTTTCTTCTTTCTTTTCTGGTGAGGAAGATTTTCAAATTCTGCTGCTGGATCCGCTCTAATGACGAGACTATCCAAGCCCCTTGTGGATAAACTAACACTCTATTTGCATATTCCCACCCATCCATGTGGCAAAGTCAAACTCAATGGTTAGGAAAAGAATGTTGACCCCTAACAAAACAGCTATTGGTCTCCCTCCACCTGGAACAACAACAGAGAATGAAGACTCAAGGAACAATTAGTCCAGAGGACTAATGGTCCTCGTAAAGCAGTCTCCTTTAACCTTGTACCAGAAGAATTACATGGTGCACTACCAACCACTTTGATTAGGTCCTCGTTAGAATAGGGTAAATGTGGAAAATAAAATTCAAATAGAAGCAAGCCAAGCAAACAAATAAATACAGATGTACTGGTTTGAAAGAGACAAAAGCACACCCCTCCAAAACTATCAATTTATGACCCTTCTAATGTGAAACTGAATATCCTCCCACAGGCAAGCTTTCAGCCTTAAAAAAGAAATTAATAACACCTGTGAAGAAGGTACTCTTTAGAAAAAACAACTGCATGAGACTAAAATCAAAGATTTAAGAAGTCAGGGAAGGCTTTCTGCCACGGCAGCCATGGAAGTACCACCATGGCTGTGCGTTACTGCATGGCCACGGGCCTCAACAAGGACCACAAAGTAGTCAAGAACATGAGCGAGCCGAGGCACAGCACTGCCACAGGAGCCTCACCAAGCCCACCAAGTGCATGGCATGATCCAGGAGGTGTGTGACTTTGCACCCTAGAGCGTCACTTGATAGAGCTGCTCAAGGTCTCCAAAGACAAGCAGCCCCTTAGGTACATCAAGAAAAGGAAATCCTAGGATGACAGAAGTTAACAGGCTGATGGTGGGGTGAAGGAATAGGAAAAGATTCAGTGGGAACTTGAAAAAGACAGGGTAATAACAGGTGTAGATCAATAGTAATTCATTATATAAAATACAATATATATGAATGATTGCATAAACATGATGTAAATAAAATTCTCTATAAAACACAGTATACATGAATAAATCCCAGTATATACAAATTTTTGTATGCAAACCATCAAGAAAAAAACATTGTGTGCCTTATTACATTTATGTTAATTTAAATGTTACTGAATTTTTCATTTTGTTTATATTAAAGTTATTTGATTTTGTGCTTGTAAAAGGACTATAAGCATAAGACATTTGAAAAAAGGAAAAGGGTGTGGATGCACATATGTGCAGAGGAAGCAAAAAGAACCCAGCAATGTCCTGGTCGCCATTGAGGAAGGTGGCTGCCAAAAACTGAGTGCGCCCCACTATCCCCCAAAGCCCTCACCCATCTGATGTAATAAAATGTAATAAATAATAACAAAAAAAGAAGTAAGAAAAGGACAAGGCAACCAGACAAACTGAAACAGGGAACCTATAGAGGGAAAAGGGCAGGGCAGGGAGGCTGTGCACATATTCCAGCCAATGTCATGCTGTAGCTGTATATGAATTCTTGATTTTAAAGCTCATTTGAAAAAAAAAATGCTCATTTGAATTATTGATTGGAAAACCAGCTGAATGTAAACTTTCACATAATATGCAATGAAAAATTCTTCCCCCCATTTTTTTTTAATGCTCAGGAGTTTTAATTTTTTTTTTCTTCTAGTGAAATTTGGGGAATTTTTAAAAAGTTAAGTTACAAACACTAAAACAAACATACCAAGATAGTAATATCTATATCATATCCTAAGTTTGGATTTATAAATACTTTGGTTTTATGTCTTGGCCTTACAATTGAACAATATTGCCATCAGGTGGCAGTGATACATTAATTTTGAAAACACAAGATAGTTAATAGGCTTCCATGTTTCACATTGAGGAGCCTGTGTGACAAAAAGGGCCTTCTGTAGGTATACGGATGAAAGAAGAGACTTTCTGACAAGGAAGTATTATTAATACAGAAGGAAAAGAGATAAGTCGTTTGCAGTATACAATTTGGAGTCTCATCTCTGTGCCTAGGTTTCTTCATGTATTAAATGAGATCACTTTTTTCATTGTGATTTGAGGGAAAGCTTACAAAAGCAAATTGATTTTCTATTCAACCATTCATACACATTTTATGTTACAATATTAATTATAATACCCATAGTGTATCCCCACTCTTCTCACTTCCTTCCTGTGGTTTTCATTTCCATTCATCCTCCTACCCTTTCCTGTCTTCTGGGCTTCATCTGTGAGCAAGTGCTACTCGCTTTATAGTTGATAAAGAAATTAATGCCTCCCTGGTGATCTTGTTCCCTCCATAGGCCTATCTATCCTTGGCTGAAAGTTAAGTCGTAGGAGTGAACTTTGTTCCAGTTTTGAAGGATGATTCAAGGCCATAGTCTCAAGTGATCCACCATTCTCTACTGGACCAATATGCCTAGGGTTGTTTATATTTCAAATGTGTTCCACATTTTCTCCCACTCTATTCAGAATCTACTGTGATCTCTTTCAGAATAGTCAGCAGCAGTAACAGTTCTTATGGCCTCATTGTCTTGAAAATTTAGGTTCATATGGTCCATTAGTCCTCTGAACAATTTTTTTTAACAAATAATTTTTATACATCTTTGCCTTTCTTCTCTCTTCTTCGCTTTAGACAGAGTAAGACCAATGTTGTTGTCATTGTAGTTGTGTACCATAAATTCAAACTGACCTGTAGCTGACCTTCCAGAGGGTTTTCAGAGGCAGTTGATCATACAGGAGGAGATTGTCCATTTTTCTTCCATGGAGCAGCTGGTGGGTTCAAACCATAGGAGCGCAGCACATCTTCTTTCCACTAGGTCACTAGCACTCCCTTCTGGAGAGATTATAGCCCAAAAAAAACCCCTAAAAGTCATTCTCCTCATCCCATAGGTTCACTATGAGTCAGAAATGACTCCATCACACATTATAAGGGAAATGAGAGAAGGAAATGAATTCTAACAGAGAGATTATAGAAGGTATGATGAAGGGTTTCTTTTCCTGCTGTCATCCAGTGTCTGAACAACTATGATCCAATGTCTGAGCAACTATGCAATATCATTAATGTTTTGTCTTCATGTTTACTCTTTTTGGCTTTCAGGTACGCAGATTTTCCGAAGCTTTTTTTTGTTTTGAACATCCAAGAGATGCTGCTATTGCATACCAGGAACTTCAGTGAGTAGTATAAATCTAAAATTAAAATTTGTTTCCTTTTATATAAGATTTCTGTGTCACAATTTATCAGTGTCAGGATATTTTTCTATTCTGACAATAATTGTATAATAATATATTCATAATTATAATACTACTACTAATAATTATAGAATACAATAAATTGTGACTAATCTTGAGGAAAATGAAATCTCAGAACACTTAATCGTGCTTATACGAAACTGTACTTAGACCAAGAAGCAGTCCTCAGAACAGAGCAAGGAAACACTGCATGGTTCCAAATCAGGAAAGGAGTGTGTCAGGGATGCATCCTGTCCCCATATCTTTTCAATCAGTATGCAGAACAGATCACTGGGGAAGCAGGGCTTTATGAGAAGGAGTGTGGCATTAACAATGGAGGATGACTCATTAACCTACAGTATGCAGATGACATTTAACTTGCTTGCTTAAAGTGAAGAAGTCCTGAAGCACTTGTTGCAAAAGTTCAAGGACTGTAATTTTCAATATGGATTGAAGCTCAACATCAAGAAGACAAACATTCTCACCACTGGGCCAGTTGGCAACACCATGATAGATGGAGAAGAGATTGAGGTTGTTAGCAATTACAGCTTGCTCAGATCCATAATCATCACTCTTAACACCAGCAGTCAGGAAATCAAAAGACGAATTACATTGGAAAAATCTGCTGTCCTGGACCTCTCCAGAGTGCTGAAGAGCAATGATGGCAGTCTAGAGACTAAGGAGTGCCTAATCCAGGCCATGGTCTTCTGAATTACTTGTAATGCTTCAGAGAGTTTGACAATGACTAAGGATGACAGAAAAAGAACAGTTGCCTTTGAGTTGTGGTGCTGGAGAAGAGTCTTGAACATACCATGAAGTGCCAAGAAAATAAATAGGTCTGTCTCTATCTGTCTATCTGTCTGTCTGTCTGTCTGTCTGTCTGTCTGTCTTGGAGAGGATGAAACCAAGTCTCTCCTTGGAGGCTAGGATTTTGAAGCTCTTCCTCACATGGCCAGCCAGGAGAGATCGGTCCTTGGAAAAGGACATCATGCTTGGAAGGGGGAAGGATAGAGCAGGAGAGGAAGACTTCAGATGAGATGGATTGATACAGTGTCTGCGGGAGTGGGGATTGGTGTGTCAGGATTAGACTGGCTCAGGACAGGGAAGGGTCAGAGCTGCTGTACATCGCAAGTGACTCAATGGCACATAACAACAATAACATATTATGACATATAAACAACATGCTTCTGGAAACTCAATAAACTTTGATAAATGTCGACAGTTGTAGAGGGGGTTCAGGCCTTTTGTTCATAGGGTCACTTTGTGTCATGCTCAACTCAAAGGCAATCAACAACAACAAAGCCAGGATCATTTTAACTCAAATTCTGTTTAATTGACTTTGGTTTTATTTTCTGGATCAGTTCCTGAACGCCCTGTGCTGATGTGCACAATTATCAACATCCCATGGCTAATCTGCCATAACGTTGGAAGGTCTGCAGAGCCCTGGTTGGAGCTTTCCATGTGGCCATTTTGTTCTAACTTTAGTTTTGCAAACCAAGAGGTTTGCATTCATCATTCTATGTTACAAATACTTAAAAGTAGCTAGACACTCATTACTTTTTCTTATTCACATGTTTTGTAGTTAGAAAATCCAGAATAAATACTTGCCATTTTTCTTACTGGTTATATTTAAGCATAGTATTCTTTGGCTATAAAGAATATTTTTAAGGCATTGTACTAAGCAAAAGAAATCAGTTACAACAAAAGTAAATATGATTCTTTATGTGGAAAAAGAATCAGAACCATTTACTTGGAAGAGATTGGAGAAGTTGATGTGGAATAAGATTGACTTAGAAGACCTGAGAAAACACTCTTGGTAGATAAAGAAGTTCTATATCATGCCTTTATTTGTAAATCACATAACTAATAATGGTTTACTTTGATTCTTGTAAACTTTAAAAAAAAGCATCAAAAAGAACTATTTACAATATAATAGCAACGGTAGGTAAGTATTTAGAGAGTCTAATATATAAAATCAAAACATTGTTAGTTGTAAAGAAACAACATTGTTAGTTGTTGAAACTGCTTATACTGTAATTTTTATATTTATATATCTGAAATTTTGCATACTAAAGGGGGTTATGATTTTTATTTATGTTGGAAAATCATATGATTTGGTTATTTTACTGCTCTGTGTTAAATAGAACATGTCAATTGAACACCTTTTCTTCTGAACTGTTACTAAATAATCTGCAGACACTTGGGTTTTTTATATTTTTCTTGCATGCTATTCACAATGAATTAGGAAGTTTGAATTTTAAGCATAGATACTCCCTTTGAAATACATAAAAAGAATAGATCATTTTAAAAATAATTAAATTTTTATATGTAGCTAATTTATCTTGTTTATGTACTCATTCTAGGATCGAGGCACTTAAACTATTTTGAAAAGAGAAAAACGTTACTGACCAAAATTTTTCCTTTTTATGTTTTTATCTCCGATCAATCAGTAAACTCTTTGATAAGAATGGTGTGCTTTAAGGGAGGTTATAAGACTTACTGTAAATTAGTGGTAAGGGAGGTTATAAGGCTCACTGTAAATGAAGGGTAAGAGAGTAGTCTTAAAAATGGAATTATATGTAGTTTTCCTTATTATTACTGTCTGTTGTTTACTTTCTAACTTAAGTAATATTTTTCAGTGCTCAGAGTCATCTACAGATGTGCACCGCTATCAAAAATACTTCCTTCTGCAGTTCTCTTCCACCTCTGCCTATTGAATGTAGTGAATTAGATGGAGATCTCAATTCTTTACCTATAATCTTTGAAGATAGGTATTTAGATTCTGTTACTGAAGGTAAGTGTAATCTAGCTAAAATATATATGCTATATATCATGTTTAGTATATACTTTCTATGATACATAAAACTATTCCCTAATATAGAGCAGATTTTTTTTCCCTTCTAGTTTTTTTTTTTTTGAGGATACTGGGAAATTGTAGTCAGAAAAAGTGACCTTTTTTCCTCCCCTAAATTTTATCTATTTTTTGGTGAGAATATACAAAGCCAAAATAAATAAAATATTAATTTAACAGTTTCCACATGCACAATTTCATGACCTTGGTTGCATTCTTCAAGTTGTACAACCATTCTCACACTCTTTTTTCTGAATTGTTTGTTAACATACTGCCCTCTAAGTTTCCTATTTAATCTTTTGAGTTGCTGTTTGCAGTTTTATATATGTGTGTACACACATACATACACACACACATTTCTTTAAAAAGCATAATGTTCAAGGCTTTCTTTTTTTTTTTACTAGTTAAGCTAAATTTTTGTTCCGTTTTCCATGACTTGAAGGGATAATTATAGTGTTCAAGACAGAAGTTTCAGGAATTCATCTGCCCTCCATATCTTCAGAAAGTTTGAGTTCATGAGAATTTAAAATTATGTTCTGCATTTTCCCCTTTTGGTCAGGATTCTTCTATTGAATCTTTGATCAAAGTGTTCAGTAATAGTAGCTTAGCACTATCCATCTCTGCTGGTATCATGGTAGAGGACGTGGGTAATTACGGAGGCAATTAGCCACACATTCAGTATCCTCCTATTCCTGACTCCCCCTCCTCCTCTGTTGCTCCAGGTGAATAGAAACTAATTGTTGTGCCTTGGACGGCCACTTACAAGTTTGTAAGACCCCAGGTACTGCACAACGAAGTAGGAGATAGAATAGAAACACTAAATGTTTTTATTAAGGCAATTAATGTGCATGTCCCATGAAAGCATGACGTTAAACCTTCAAACCAAGGAACCAAATCCTATAAGGTGTTTGGTTGTATATAAGCAGAAAAACCCATAGTCTTAGTCATATGAGTTCTCACACCTTGTTTTAAACCTGAATCTTTTTTTCTTTGGATAAAAGACTTAGATGCACCCTGGATGGGATTTCAGAATCTTCAGAGATCAGAGTCCTATAGAATGGATAAATATGAGACTGAAGAAAGCTCTGTAGCTGGACTTTCTAGCCCAGAGTTGAAAGTCAGACCTGCTGGTGCCTCCAATATTTGGTACACAGAAAGCGAAAAACAGCTAACAAAGTCTCTAAAAGGAAAGAATGAAGAATCAAATAAATCCAAAGTTAAGGTTACTAAACTCATGAAAACGATGAAACCTGAAAACACAAAAAAATTAATAAAACAGAACTCTAAGGATTCTGTGGTTTTGGTAGGCTACAAATGTTTGAAAAGTACAGCAGCAAATGATTTCTCTATGTGCTTTGAAGGCAATTCTTCACATAGTCAGAAAGAAGGTCTGGAGCCCACAATTTGTAGATATAAATTTGACCCAAAGACCTACATCAGACAGACAAGTCGAAAGGAAGCTAGCTATTTGCCAAGTAACACAGAGGCAACTGAACAAAAGTCTGCAGATAATGAAAATTTGCAGCCAAACCAATTTGATCCATTGAACTCTGGCAGCCTAAAACTTTGTGCAAATTTGTCCGTTACAGGTAAACTTGGTATCTCCCAAGATGGTAGTGAAAATACACAAGTGGAACACAGTGTGGCCTCCAGAAGTTCATCAGACGATTGCCATGATCATCAGACAACCCCTGCTTCGGGAGTTAAAACAATTGACGTGCAGCCTACTAACAGAGATCCTCTTGGGGGAGAGAAAGTGACTGTTAAACTTTGGACAGATTCACGGCAAGATGAAATGTTTGTGGATAACTCTCAGCTTCCCATCATTGAATCCTTAGAATCGAATGGTAAATCTATAGAAATAACACTTGACAAGGAAACTTTACATGAAGCAACGAGTTGTTTTATTGGAGACTCATTAGCTAAGTTAAGAAGTAATCCACCTGCTCTTTCTACAAAAGAATATCATGTTATAGTAAGTGGAGATACAATTAAGTTACCAGATAGTAATGTCACATATGCTTCCTCTAGGTTTTCAGATTCAGGTGTTGAAAGCGAACCAAGTTCTTTTGCAACACATCCAAATCCTGAAACTGTGCAAGGACAGAGTCCTTATAATAATGAAAGATTATTTCCTCAGTTTTTGATGAAACCTGATTATAATGTAAAATTTTCATTAGGAAGTCATTGTACTGAGAGTACAAGTGCTTTAAGTGAAATACAGTCATCACTGACATCCATAAACTCTCTACCTTCTGATGATGAACTGTCACCTGATGAAAATTCTAAGAAATCTGTGGTACCTGAATGCCTTCGAAGTGATAGTAAAACTGTATTAAATCTGGGAACAATTGACTTGCCAAGATGTGATGATAGTAAAAAGTCAAGTATTATTTTGCAACAGCAAAGTGTTGTGTTTTCAGAGCATTTGGACAATGAAACCATAACAATCCATTCCTTAAATACAAGTGCTAAAGATGCTTTACAAATTTTTTCAGATGAAGATACTTCCAGGGATAAGAAAAGTAGTAGTGGCTCCAAACCTAACTTGGACAATATGTATAAAGACTTTCAGAGTCCCAGTGAATCTCCTAACTCTGCAAGGACAGCAATTACATTAAATTCAACACTCATTTGTTTTGGAGCTCCTTGTGTCGTTTCAGGGTCCGTTTCTGCTAATGCAGAAATCAGTGAAGACATTAGTATTAAAAGAGTAAATGGTGATGCACTAAATTTTAAACAAATAGACTCAGAAGGCTCTCTAGTTGAAAGTGAAAGTCATCTGGGTATAGATGACCCCTTTTCAACCAGTACTGATATGGTAAAGGAAGGGCTGGTGGAAGATTACTTTGGTTCTCAAAGCAGTACAGATATTTCTGACACATGTGCTATTAGTTATTGCAATTCCTTTCGCTCTCTGAAGGAAACGCTTGAAAATGAAATTAGTGATCTTCAACAGGAGCAGAGTAAAGAGGTTGAGGAGGAAGACCAGGACCAACAAATGGTTCAAAATGGTTATCATGAAGAAACAGACTATTCCGCTTTGAATGAAACAGTACACTGTACAAAAAGAGACACACTAGTAGAAGAAAAACTTATAAAATCTGAAAAATTGCACAGTGACTATCTGAGGGATGGTATAAACATGCCTACTGTCTGTACTTCTGGTTGTTTGTCCTTCCCGTCTGCACCACGAGAGTCTCCTAGTAGCGTCAAATCCTCTTCCAAAAGTAAATTTGATGCCATTACAAAACAGCCAAGCAGCACTTCTTACAACTGTACTTCATCATTTTCCTGGTATGAAAATTCACCAAAACCTCAAATACAAGCGTAAGTAATGGAGCAAAAATATGTGCTACTGAAAAAAACCTGTATGTTATTATTAACATGTATCGTTTTCATCATCATAACTAGTGCTAAAGAGATTCATGTTTCTTTGATTCTCCGATTTCTAGAATACAAAAAGTACTTTTTTGAGAGTATATTCTTTGCAGACAGCCTATAGTTCTCAAAGAGTTGTCTTGTTTTGTAGCCGAAATTAAAACCACACCTGGGTCAATTCTGACTCTCTGGGACTCCTCCATAGGACAAGTAGAACTGTTCAAACCTCTAATCTTTGAGTTAGCAACTGAGCTCTGAACTACCAGAGCTCCTCTTATATAGAGTAGGCAATGTCAATTAGATAATTGAGCTTAAATGTCATTTCCCTCCATTATTAACCTATTTATCTCATATTAGCACTAGAAAAAGCCAAATTTTGTAAGGACACCTAGACTATAAGGACAATATTAAACAGTAAATGTGGAAAATTATTTTGGCTCTCAAAGCAGTACAAAACTTACTGGAATCTAAACTTCCCAGACTAAAGATTACCTCATAAAAGCCAGGAATTTCCAGAACTGAGGTTTCATGTGTTCATAAAATATCTAAAAAAAAGCCAAACAAACCAACAACAACTGGGGAATAAAGAGTACTAAACATGACACAGACTCTTGAATGTTCCAATCCCCAGATTATTGCAGTCTGTTATGCATGAAATTAAGGTTCATAGTACCAAAGCTGTTGAAACTGGTGAGGCGTTAATCGCCCGGTAAAAAGTGTAAGTTGAGGAAGTTGATGATTATCCCACCTCTGGGTACCTTAAAATGTTTCTGGATTGTGAAGGAAACTTGGTCTGTATGCCCTCACATAGTATACTCTGCTCAGTTCAGTGTTCATTGACATTTTCAAGTTTTACTTTTATCAGTCCAAATTGATAGGTTAAACAATAATTTTTTGTATGTGCACTCCTCAGGTTGAATAGATTTGTCACACATTCCAAGTGAGTAATGCCACTAATTATACCTAGTCGCATCTCCTTCCACATTCTGCCTATTCTGAATGGTATTTTAAAGAAAATTACAAATATCATGATCTACACAATCTCTCGGTGTTAACAGTTACCAGGCTTGGTTGGGTTGCCACCTGAAGATGGAAAGTGTAAGTCTCCTCAGAGGTGTCTCCAAAGAAAGGCCTGACAATCTACTTCCAAGGAAGTCAGCCAGGAAGTGCTCTAAGGAGCACACTTCTATGCTAACACAGGTTTTCCATGAGTTAGCAATGCACTGACCACAAACTGGTTTTCACTAAATACTGTTGTAACCATTCTCATTGCTAAATTTTGTAGATAGCTCCTTTACTCCTATTTATATAAGATTTTAATAGAGCAGAGAGAATAGATCAGATTATAGGATAATCATCAGGTGGTTCTTTTTCTAATGTTGCTCTCAACTTTTTTGTTGTGCACATACTGTAAAATTTTATAGAAGGTGTAAAACCATTTGTAATGTTAGTTGAGCTCAGGTTTAAAGGGTGTTATTTATTTGATCAGATAGCATACTGAAAAATAGTAAAGAAAATTAATGCTGCTAAAAGATAAGAAATTTCTTTTGAAAATACCAGAACTTAAATGTCTGTTTGTTGGGTGATTTCACATATTTTTATGATTTTTAAAACCAAATGTTGCTGAGTTTCCTCTACATTGTCTAAATTCAATGCAGTATCTTTTTAGTTGTAAAATTTGTGTATGATGCTTGGTAAGGAGTATTTTCTATAATTTTTTTCACTTCAGTTTCCTTCAGGCAAAAGAAGAACTGAAACAACTTAAACTCCCAGGTTTCATGTACAGTGATGTTCCTCTTTTGGCATCCTCAGTACCTTACTTTAGCATGGAAGAAGAAGATAGTTCTGAAGAGGGAGTACATCTTATTGTCTGTGTGCATGGTTTAGATGGTATGTGATATCCCTTGATGTTATAACAAACTCATTGTTTCTTTTGGTACTAGGTCTAAATTGCTTTTTAAATAGACTTTCTTTGGAATTGGCATCCATATGCCATTATTTTCTTTCTTTTCCTTCTAGTTGTCTTCTCATTACTGGTCTTATCAAACATTACCTCATGAAAATCAGTGTGTTTCACTTGGATAATTCCTAGTTCTCTTTTAGCTTGCTATGAAATAAAGGTTCACAAATTATTACTACTTTCTGAAATTTGTCAGTGTTAATCAACTTTTTCTGGTACAGTGATTCTGTGTATTCCATCCATCTTCTTTTGATGCTTTCTGAATCATTCAACATATTGCCCATAGCATCCTTCAGTATTATGACACGTGGCTCAAATTTGTTTTTCTGCCCTCTCAGCTTGAAAAAATGCAGAGTATATTCTTCCCTTTTTATTCTCCAATTCCACCTTTCTGCACAGTTCATAATAATACTTTACTTTGTCCTCCCAAGCTGCTCTTTGAAATCTTCTGTTCGGCTCTTTTACTTCCACATGTTTTCCTTTTGTTTTGGCTTCTCGATGCTCCAGCGCAATCTTTAGAATCCATTCTAAAAACTTGAAGCTCTTGTTGCAGAAGTTCAAGAAATGCTGCCTTCAGTATGGGTTGCATCTTATAAAGAAAACAAATATTCTTACTACCTGACTAATAGACAGCATCATGTTAGATTGATAGGAGATTGAAACTGTCAACAGCTTCATCTTTCTTGGATCCACAATTAACACTATTTGTGCCAATAGTTAGGAAATAAAAAGACACATTGCATTGGGGAAATCTGCTATTAGGGACCTCTCCAAATTATTGAGGAGTAATGATATCAGTTTGAGAACTAAGGTGCATCTGATTCAGACCATAGTCTTTCCAGTCACTTCCTATGCATTGGAGAGCTGGATAATGAATAAGGATGACAGAAGAAGAATTGACACCTTTGAGTTCTGGTGTTGGAGAAGAGCGCTGAACATCCCATGGATAGCCAAGAGAATGAACAGATTTGTCTTGGAGAGAGTAAAGACAGAGTGCTTTTGAAGTCAAGAACCATGAGGCTTCTCCTCACTTACTTTGGGCATGTTACTAGGAGTGGCTATTCCTTGGAGAAGGATATGACACTGGGAAGGGCGGAGGGTCGGCGAAGGAGAGAAAGACCCCTAACCAGGTGGATTGACACGTTGACTGCTACGGTGGGCTCTTGTGTGTCAGGAACTGTGAGATGGCACAAGATAGAACCAGATTCATGTCTTTTGTTCATAGGATCGCTATGAGTCATACTCAACTCGATAGCACCTAACCACAACAACTTTTGCCATTATAAAAATAAAACTATAAATACCTCTTGCCATCAAGTGATCCCAAATCTTAGAACATCATAGGCCAGACTAGAACTGCCTTGTAGGATTTTCAAGGTCCTAAATTGTTACCAATATAAACCTATATATTTTTTTACTCTGAGCAAATGAAGAGTTCAAACCACTGACCTTTTCTGTTAGCAGTCAAGTACATAACCATTACATCATTTTTACTTGCTGTCAAGTTGGAAGTGACTCATAACTGACCCTAAATTACACTGTAGATTGTCCATCAAGAGGTATCTTCTTTGATTAAGCAGCACAACTCCATATGGTCTGCACCTTCTTTATTCACCAGTCAACTAAAAACTTATTGCTGTCAAGACTGACTCATAGTTAATGTTCCAACTGGTTTTCAGAGGCTGTAAATCACGTATGTGGTTTTCCATCTTTCTCTTTTTGGAGCAGCTGGTGTATTTGAACTGCTGCCTTTGGATTGGCAGCACAACTCCTTACCCACTAAGCCACGAGATCTACCTCTTACAGTCATTTTGTTGTTGTTATGTACCATCAAGTTGGAACCGACTTATAGCTGATCCAGTGGATTTTCAGAGACAGCAAATTACACAGGAAGAAATTGCCCCTTTTTCTTCCATGGAGAAGCTAGTGGATTTGAACTACATGCCTTACAGTTGGTAGTGCAACCCCTTATCACTATACCACCAATTACAATTACACCATTTAGTTAGAAAGCATCAATGTAACCAAATCTGGGTTGGAGGAGCATGTGAAAATCTTTTGAAAAACATTTTTCTAGCTAATAGAAATCAACTTTGACATAAAAACTGAGAACTCTATTTTAAAATGCACTGTTTGTGGTGCAACCACTGTGGAAGGTGGTATGGTGCTTTCTCTAAAAGTTGCAAATAGAGATACCATTTGACCCAGCAATTCTGCTACTGGGAATATACCCCAAAGACACCATAACTGGCATCCAAGCAGAAATATGCACACCCATGTTTATTGCATCTTTGTTCACAGTAGCAAGGAGTTTGGAACAACCTAAGTGCCCATCAGCAAACGCATGGATAGAGAAGCTGTGGTATATTCACACAATGGAATACTATGCTGCCTTGAAAAACAAGGAACTCATGCAATATTATTCAAAGTGGGTGACCCTGGAGGACATTATGCTGAGTGAA